GCAATTCACCGTCAACGACAACGTATGGGAATGGCTACCATCCCACGAAGGCCCTCGCCGTCTCTAAGACTGCCCCGACCGATGAAGGGAATCGACGGCATGCACGGGTCGGCGATAGTCTCTGGATACTCTCAACGATCCGCTCGCGAGATCTACGGAGCTCCATCGAAACCTATTCAACGCCGCTCGCCATACGATGCTCGACGTCAGCAAAAGACCTCTGAGATGGTCATGCATAATCGCGGGGATGAATCTTCGAGACGCACTGTGAGGAAAGCAGATGCCGGAAGTCGGCATTCAGTGAGTCGTGAACTGGAAGGAGAGTCAGACGTTTCTGTGCATGGACATGTTGAGCCTGCTGATGTTGAGGCCCGAGGGTTGAAGGGAAGCGACGGTAAATCGTCAAACGCAAAAAGAGACGACGGTGGATCGGTGACGCTACCTACGACTACACGGAGAACGGGCAAGACAGGCGGTCGATCAGCACAGAAGGCCGCCCTAGCTTCGAAGTCGCGAGTCGCGAAGGGAAAGAACGCTGCTGATAAGAAGAATGATTACGAAGAGGACAGTGAGAGTTGGGATGGAGGGGGCCCTAACGCTGTGCAAGCAACAGCCATCACGACTGATCGTCTGCAGTCTATCTCAGAAGCTCACACTTCTACCGCTGACGCTCACACGCATGGGCCGGGGGATGCGTCCAGTGATGCTGACAACGAGTCGATTGGTGCCGAAGAGGCTCAGAAAACGGGAGCTGATGAGGGCGGCGTCATCGGATCTCAATCATCTTCTGTCGCTGGCGATGCGTACACCGCAGCAGTGAACGACACAGAGAGGTCTCCTGTCGAAAATGATGTCGGTAGCACTGAAACGCCGTCTCAAGCCGTTGGAGTGGCCGTTGACGAACGAGCTACTACCGAGGGAGGGGGCGCATCGGGGTCTCCTCTTGCTGATTTGAACAGGGAGAAGGAGCGAACAGAAGTAGTCGCTACTAGTGGCATTGAGGATAGTGAGCCTGGTGAAAACCCTGAAATTCCCCCTATCGCTGACGAGTCTGTCGCGGGAGATACGGCCGCTAAGAATGGTGAACGCGAGTCAGTTGGAGTCGACGGCAACCCTGAAGGTGCAGACGAGACGACGAAAGCAGAAAATAATGACGATAACGATACTCTCGTGGAAGCGACGAACGACGCGACCGCTTCTGGTGACACGGAGGGGGTTGGTCAGGAAGAGTCGAGTCAACCGTCCCCGTCAGGAGAGGCCGCCAAACCGGCTGAAGACGATACTCTCCCGGCGGACGGTTCGGAGGAGTCTGAGGTGGCTAAGGAAGACTCCGAGGAGAACATACCCTCTGAAGACGACGTACCTGAAGAGCCCAAGGCGAATCTGATGAGTCGCGAAGAAGAGGTTTGGGGTGGCGCCGGTGATCCCCCTCGGCCTCCCGGTGAATTCGAGTCGGGTACTCGGCCGGCTAAGGATGGCAGGGAGCCGCCGCATTTTGACGTAAATGCTACGAGCCCCACTAAGTTCAGAGAACATGCCAATTAAGCTCCGTCTGAGCATGCTCAGCGATGAGGAGAAGATCTCGAGTGTAGCTGATGTGAGTACTATTGCCACGCATTCTTCTCTCTACTGTGACTCTCAGGTTCACCTCCTCAATATGAATGCTGGTTTTAGTTTTGTTCTGAGCGCTGCTTTGGCATGTAGCATGATGTGTTGCGGTGTATTACACGACATGTAGCGTATTAGTGGCCCAAACGAGATATTGCATATAACGATACTCTTGTAGAGATGATCGCCCTCGGAGTGTTAAACTGTTTGCCGCTCAGCACAGGCCTCTGAGGAGTACGTCGCTGTTCAATCCCGAGTTCGTCTGGCAATCTTTCCCATCACTTGCTGAGAGTTACATGCAATACCCGAACGCTCCATCCGAGACACCCGAGACACCTCTGACATTATTTCCCAAAGTATTCGCACATACTTTTACGAGCGTCGATTGCCTCCTCCTCTTTTGTGGAGGATTGAGATGAACCTGATAGTTTAGATTTGTTAACGCCCTAGACAGTGCCTGTTTTCTTCAGAAAATCTGGATTCGGGTCGGTGGCCTGAATGTGTCTTGCTTCATCCAACTGCAACTCAGCGACACATTGGGTACAAAATGTCACAACTCGTATACTATCACAACATTTGAAATAGAGAGTACCTCATCGGATCAAACACGATCGATTGAGACGATGGAACATTTGACAGAGCATGA